CACTAGGAAGGCAGTATGCAATGTGTTAATTATTGGAACTGTCCTACCAATTCAGTTTGAAACTGTATCATTGCTGTTTATTTCTCAATAAAATATTGGAAAAAAAATCTTGGAATCAGCCTATAAACCATGAAAAGAAGAATGAATAGAGACTGCATGTATCAGTATGTGTCACAAAGATGTACTAGAGGGAAAAAAATAGCAAAACCTAAGGCTGGACACCTTTTCCCAGAATACACAAAATAGCAACAAGTTCAGTCCTGTCACATCACACAGCTTAGGTGCTCAGAGGTGTGGTTTTACAGGACAGCAATATTCCAGTCCAGGAACCAGGCACTAGTGTCATTTTGTCCCTGACTCTTATTTCCTCAAGACTACTTTTGTTCCTGAGCTTTGGTCCCTCCTGTGTGAACACAGCTTTTCTTGCAACCCAACCCTTCCCACAAGACCCCAGGCTGTCCTACCTGGATCACTCTGAACTCTGAGCACATGGCCAGTGTAACACCCTTCCTCCACACTCCTGGTTTTGCCTTTAGACTTTGTTGGAAAGCTGCAGCAGCCCAGAGCACATGCCCAGCCTTGGGAGAACATTGTCTCTTGAGTTGCAAAACTGATCTGCCATAATGACAGTTCTGGTTCTCAATCCATGTGTGCCTCAGTTTCTCCCAAGGGTAAACTGGATGTCAGCAGGAATCATGTCTCATCATTCACACAGAAGGTCAGGAAACATGGATATCAAAAGGAAGGCACAAACACAGAGCCTTGCACTATGTAAGTGGATTTATTAGGCTCCCATCGGGTGACAGCTGGATGCTGAGGACAGGAACATCCGTTGGTTTGGGAGGAGAAAAGGGAAACCCTGACCTCTTTGCTGGATTCTAGACCAGAGTCCAGCAAGTCAGTGCATCAGGCTTCGCCTTTGCCCCAGTGCTGAACATGGCCCACGGAGGTCAGGTGCTGCTGTCCCATCCTGGGCACCCACCATGGAGATGGTAGGTCATCAGCAAGATGAGGTGCAGCAGGAGGAGGTGCCACAGGAGACAGGGTTACAGAGGAGGGCAGGACAGGAGGGCTGGCAACAGCCTGAGGACTGGCAGGAGGGAACCACGCACAGCGAGGGCCCACAGCTCATGGGGAGGCACACAGAGCCCTGGCAGGAGGGCTGGCAGCACCCTGAGGATTGGCAGGAGGGGACCACACACACAGCCGGCCTGCAGCTCATGGGGACACACACAGAGGCCTGGCAGGAGGGCTGGCAGCACCCTGAGGACTGGCACGAAGGGGTCACGCACAGGACGGGCTTGCAGCTCACAGGCACGCAGCAGGCAGCCTGGCAGGGGCTGGACACACAGCAGGCTGGCTGGCAGCACGAGGAGCAGCTGGTGTGGCACATGGTGGCTGAGGTGGCTGTGGCTGGGAGGAGGTGACGATGTCTGTAGCCTCCCGCCCTCCCTGAGTGGCATTTATACTCAGGTCCCAGGTGTTGTAGCATCTTGGAGAATGCTGCAGTCTTCCTGCTTGGTTACCACTGGCTTGCCTCTGGCATTTGTGCTCTTTTGTTTTTGTTTTTTTTTCCAGCTACATAGCTAATTGCACCCTCTACATGTTCCTGGTGTGTGGGAACCTCTGGCTCAGCATTACCTCCGTCTGGATTCTGCCTGGCTTTATCATCTTTCCTGCATTACTTTGTGAGAGTCCAAAACACCGACACGCCATATCTCCTTCCACAGAGACCACTCAGCCCAGGATTTCCAGAAACTCAGTCAGACAGACTGGAGAAAGGCACAGGTACAGTGTGTGTCTGGTTAGGGGTTGCATGCTCGGGGCTGCAGAGAACTCCTCCTGGGCACGGTACAGACACCATTCTCCTGTGGGCCTATTGAGGAGTGGAATCGGACCCTGCCACGCCTCCTGCATGGAGCTGCAGCAGCTCCCAGCCTATTGTTGGGCAGTGTGGGCACTCCATGGATACCCCAGAGCCACATCAGAAAGCCAGGCAGTTTGGGAAGGGACCCAAGGTCTGGCTATCCTTAGGGTATTCTGCAGGGCTCAGGAGCATCAGGAGGGCCAGTGGTAAGCCAGAGCCCCCAGGTGTCCACACCAGCTCATGCAGCCTCTGTGGGAGGGGCTACCATTGCCTTGAATAGGAAATACTTCTGAAGGAGATCTTCCCATGCCATCGTTATGGGGCCCTGTGCTGCAAAGCATCATTTGCAGCATATGAAGCAGCCTTTGTGGTGTGCCTTCCACAGCACTGTGTCTCCACCCAATGTCTACCCTTTATCTACACTGTCCCTAGAGAATGTGGCCCACACTTTGGAAGCAGGTGCCTTACTTCCAGGGATTCATTAGTGACCATTTCCCTGGCTACTTACAATTCTACACATGTTTCTCAGGACCATGGACAGATCTGTGGGCTCCACTTGACCACTCTGTGGCTATTGTGGTAATTTCTGCAGGAATTACCACAGGAGGCCTGGATAAGTCTTGGCCCCAGCTGCCCTGAATTACTGAGGAAGCCATTGGAGGTCTTGTATGTTCTTTCTGCAGGAATTACCACAGGAAGTGGGAGAGGAAAAGGAAAAGAACATACAAGGCCTCCAACAGCTTCCTCAGTAATTCAGGGTAGCTGGGGCCAAGTCTTATCCAGCCACCACAGCCACCATGGGGACTGCCTAAGCAACTTGAAGTCAGAGTCCAGGAGCATGTAGGGTAGGTATGGCTAGAGATATGGTCAGAGGGCTCAGGCCCTGCCCTAAATACAACCTCTTGCACAGAGTATAGGGTGTGAGTTGGCGGAGGAGCATCCAGGCCACATGAGACATATGGGCTACTTGGCTCTCACCACTACATGGCAGATCTGGCCCAGAATTACCACCTTCTCCTTGGGGCAGAATTCTAGTGGCAAATGCAAAATAAAGGTGATGGGCTCAGAGACAGAAACCACCGAGAGCCATGCAGGCAGTGTGGAGCCCACACCACCCACCATCCCAGAGTAAGCTGAGAGCCCCCAGTCTGCTCACTACCTCACCCTTGCCAAAGCAGCAGCTTGGGATTTTACAAACAAGGCAGCATCTCCAGGAAAACAGGCCAGCCCTAATGAGTGTGCCCAGAACCGAGCCTAGAAAAACACTGAGGGCAATACTCAAGGAACCTCAAGTAGGAAGAATGCAAAACACATAAGGGAAGCATAAAAGGCCTGCAGTCCTGTGTCTCACACACTCTCATACTCACCCACACTCACTCACATCCTCCCATAGCTCAATTCTGCGATGGCTGCCTCCACCATGTCTGTCTGCTCCAGCACTTGCACTGAGCCCTGGCAGGTGGATGACTGCCCAGAGAGCTGTTGCGAGCCCTCCTGCTGCACCCCCAGCTGCTGCCAGCTCAGCTGCTGTGCCCGGCTCCCTGCCTGAGCCTCATCTGCACCCCATGCTGCCCGTCAGGCTGCACCAGCTCCTGCACACCAACGTGCTGTCAGCAGTCCAGCTGCCAGCCAGCTTGCTGCTCCTCCACCTGCCAGCCATCCTGCTGTGTGCCTTCCTGCTGCACACCTGTCTGCTGCACACCCATCTGCTGTATGCCCGTCTGCTCAGGCACCTCGTACTGCTGCCAGCCAGCTAGCTGCTCCTGCTCCCCCTGCCAACCATCCTGCTGTGTGCCTGTCTGCTGCAAGCCAATTTGCTGCACACCTTCCTGCTCCTCCATGTCCCTCCTCTGCTGCCCTGTGTGCAGACCTGCCTGCTCTGTGCCTTCCTCATCCTGCTGCGACTCTTCCTGCCAACCCAGCTGCTGCCGCGCAGCCTCCTCTGTGTCCCTGCTTTGCCACCCAGCTTGCCCCCACTCAGCTTGCTGTGGCCTCTCCTTGGGCCGGAAGTCCTATTGTTAACCACCTTCCAACACACACACCTTCAGAATCCTGCAGGCTCAGGTCTAACCTCGGGGTGCCTTTTGTTGGCCTCTTGGCTGCCTCAGTCTTTGTCATCCAGTGAAAGTCCAAGAAGAGGAGACCCTGGTGCCTGAGGGGCTCTGGCCACCCCACAAAGGATCTGTTGCCCCCTCCCAGGACCCAATCCACAAGCTTGATATGGCTTTCCAGGGCCAAGGCCTCAGTGGGCTCTCCTGTTCTGGGGCTCCTGTAGCTGCTTTGGTGTTGAGCCCTGTGGAGAACCTTATAAAGCCCTTCCTGTGGCTGTGCTACACTTGTCACCTTTCTGGTCATTTCTAGTTGAATCACTGCCTCCAGACTTAGTGCTAGGTACAGCCTCCACCCACCAGCCCCTCATCTGCACTGCATGGTCACATACTGAGGGCACATGGGAAAGATGATAGGCATTGGCCGGAGCCCCTTCCCGGGAGCTGCACCTGGCCCAGGAGCTGCTCCTCCCCTCCTGGGAGGGAGGGGTTGTTGCCGTAGAAAGGCAGCACCAGAGCTTCTTCACAATACCCAGCCCTCCCCTGGTGGGCTCAGCTGCCCTACTCCACGACTTCACTTCCCAATGTGGCCACTGCCCTCCCTGTCCCCCTGTGGCTTCCCAGGCACAAAATCATCAATGATCACTCCTCCCAGTGATGCCCCTGGCTCTGTGCAGCCATATGCACTCCAGGAGTGGCTGCTTTTTGGCCCTGCTCTCCCCTCTCGTATATCACCACACCCACCCTACTCCCTTGGTACTGCCCAGCCCACCTGACAGCTTTTCAGGTCTTGAGGTACCTAAAAAGCCCCATTCTTCACCTACCAGCTGCTCCTGCCCTGCTGGGCCCTGTGACTGACCTTTCCACATGCCCAGCATGGTGGGATGTGGTTCCCTCCTCATGTGCCCAGTCCCATCCCTTGCCAGGTTTGGGGAACCTCTCTGTGAACCCTAGCTTTGGACCCCAAGTCTAGATGGTGATCCAAACCTGAATTATCTCTTTCTCCTATCTACCTATGGTCAAGGGTCACAGGGCACCACCTCCTCACTGCCACACACACTGTTGGCTTTCACAGCACTGTGTCATCATGCTAGAGTCCCTCACCACTGCTACCCCCTGTCCAGGGGTAGGGGAATGGGGGAGTCCAAGCCTTTGCTGGCTAGAAGGGTCTGGATGGCAGCTGCAGTGGCCTAGGAAGACAAGGAGGTGGCTGTGTGGTCCCAAAAGTTGCAAGCTTCTGATGCCTGGTTCCTGGGACACATGTACCTCAAGAGTGCTTTTGCCACCAGGATCCCCATTGCATGGGAAAGCTTTCATACAGGGCCTATTTTGAAAGAAACCATATTCCTTTTTCAGTAAAAGGTGCCAAGAGGAAAGGTGGTAGGGTCCCAGAAAGTCAGGAAGGATGTTCCCTCCCTGTTCAGTCTGGGTCAGCCTACTTCACTAAAGGTGAAGATTCCTGCTGTCACCAAATGTAGAGCCAGGACCTGGGTGCACTGGCCTGTGTATAACTTGGGAGAGAATAGGGAAAATTTATCCATGGGAGCAAAACTATGCGAAGAAGACTAAGAATAATTGGAATTAGTAAAAAATCACAAGGCAGCACAAATGGCATTTAAAAACCTGTTTACAGAAATGACTGCAGAAAATTTTCCAAATATAGAGAAGGAACTTAAAATAGAAAAGCAATACATATGATACCCCAAATAATCTTGATCAGAAAAGACCTTCCCCACAACATATCACAGACAAAATCCCAGATATCCAGACCAAGAACAGAATCATACAAGGTGTTACAGAAGAGTGAGGAATCACTTAGAAAGGTAAACCCATCAGAAATATGGCAGAAATCTCCATACAAACCTTAAGGGCAAAGAGTACCTGGACTGATGTACCCTGAGAAATCATCTTTCAAAAAAAATTTATGTATTTATTTGAAACAAATTTATTTATTTTTATATTAATTTTATTGAGACAGAAATAGCAATGAGACAGTTTCAAAACAGGTTAATAGGACAGTTACAATCATTAGTACATTGCATATTGTTGTCTTTGTAGTAGTTATTCAGAGTACAAGATGCAGACATGGTATCTTGTCTAGACACTATTCAAAACTTTCTTCTCATCGAACTAAGAGAAAGTATCTGTATATCTATCCCCACTATCCTGTATACACAAATACATGTATATTTTTTTCACTACAAAATAGTCCTTCACTTATATCCCCCTTTTTTGTTTACTTCTGTCAGAGATGAGTACTCCACTGCCCATTCATCTATTCTAGGTGCATGAATTCAGCAAAGTAATCCAATATAGTCCAGTAGTCCATAATAGTAGTGGGTTATCCTCAGGACTGACAATATCAGAAGTCGTTGACTTGAGCTCAGCATATTAATATGGCTTTACTTTTTATATCTTGTTTTTATACTTATCTGCTGGATGGCTAAGACCAAGATAAAGTAAGAGCTATATAACAAA